TGCTTTCACTTGGTTTACTACTCTTTCGCCAGTTTCTATAAATACTTGGCAACACTTGGAAAGATTATTCCACGAATAATTCTACATGGGGAAATCTAAGATAAGTCTTAAAGAATTGGCCAGTATCAAGAGGAAATTCACTGAACCAATAGATGGTTGCAGGAGGTTTAGAATTTTCCATTCGAAAGAAATTAGATACCTAATATCTAAGAGACATGGCCCAGTTAGCTGATAGGGTTCGATAAGTCGAAGGTTTAAAAGCTGAAAAGATTAGGGCAAATAAAAATTACAAGAAAGAGAGGGTTGCTTATATCGAAGCCGAAGAAGAGGAACAAGAAATTCTAAATGATCCTTTTGGCTTCGAAGAGTTTGAAATAGATTTGGCAGAACTGAAACAAGCACCCCCATACTCTTGTAAAGTTCTTGCCCCAACGAATGGTAAGGACCCCATCGAAACAGAAAAAATGACAAATATCCTAAGAAAACTTACACATTCGATGTAACAAAATGTGATGAGATATTTGACTTATTAGTGAAAGATGGCCAGATGATAGTACCCCCAAATGTTAAGATTCATCCGTTGGAACAACGGAAGAAAAGGGGTTTATGTAAATATCATAACTTCTTAGGCCATAAAACCTCACAATGCTTTCTTTTCAGGGATCTGATTCAGAAGGCCATCAAGGATAGAAGGCTCAAGTTTGGAGAGAAAGCAAAAAGTAAGATGAAGATAGACACTGACCCCCTCAATGTGGCTGAAACAAATTATGCTGAGCCATTGGACATCAACATGGTGGAAGTATCTGAAGAGGATTCTAGCCAACAGGTGAAGGTGAAACAAAGTGAGGCTACTGAAGGCTTCAAGTGTGAAGACTCTTTCGATGGAATTGCTGAGGACTCTGTTCCAAAGATTGCATAAGTTCCACAGGATCAGGCTACAAAGGGCAACATTGTTGATGACGCAGCCCCAGAAGTTGAAAATGCTAAGGCTACTGAAGGCCTTATAGCGAAATTCGAAGAGATGAAGATTGCTAAGGACTCTAAATCTGCCTATGGAAAGATTGAGACTACTGAAGGTCAAAATATTGAGATCAACATGATATATTTGAATCAACCTACCCCAGAAATAGAGGAAATAGAAAGAAAACTGAAATTGGAAAATGATCAAATGAGAGGCGGATATGCCAAAAGCAACGAAAGTCTGCATGATTACTTGTTCCGCTGCCATATGCAAGATGTTGATATGCTTACGTGCCCTAGATGCAGTATAGTCCATGATCAAAGGGCCGAAGCAGCATACGAGAGGATCCAGAAGGCACAGACTACGGGGAACTGGAGAAGTCAAAACCAAATACCGACTCCTTACCCCAAGCTAGGGGAAAGTTTGTTAGGTTTCCTTGTGAGATGTCAAAAAACTAACTCTATATGCTTGATGTGCCCCAGATGTGGCGATGTGTATGACAAGAAAGCTACTGAGATGTTCATAAGAGTTCCCTATACCCAAGTCTGGGGAAATCGAAGCGAGGTCAAGCCTAGTTTCACCTTCGATAAGAGGGGAATCCCAAGGAGACAAGATCGTCCTCACCCAAAGGTCAATCGAAGGGTAACTTTCAAACTTCCTGCTAATATACCAACAAATCGATGGGTTAATTCAAGTGAAGTGAGGAATAAGTGGAGAAGTTTCAACGAGGGAGGCAGGACTGCGATGGATTACATAAAACAATTCTAAGCATGAAAGAGGGAAACATATAGGACCGAGAACTATAAGGGTAAGAATCCAATGTCTAGATCCCAGTGGCGAAGGCATCAGAGGATAAAGAAGGCTGAAAGGGAACTAGCAACGAGGGAGATAGGTGAATCAAGTAATAGTCAGTTTTTATCGAACATGTTAACAAAATAAAAAGATGATGCGAAATCTGTGAACAATCCCATATGCACAAAAAATGTCTGCATCGCCTCAATAATGCAGACCCTTCTAACTAATTTTACCGATGTATTATTATTTATAAGTACGCTTAATCATATTTTTTTACTTAGTAATTTAATTGTAATTGTTTATTTATAATTAATTAAATTTTGTAATTACATACTTTATTAATTAATTATATGTTGAAATTATTAATTAAACTATTTATAATTAACTAATCAAATAAATAATAAAAATTTATATTAAATATATCAGAAAAAAAAAAAATATATATTCATGCTATTTGAAATAGCACAAGCAACTTATTAACTATATAAAAATGGTGCAAATCACTCTCTCCGTGGCAATGTGAAATTTTTTTTTTCAAGATATAGTATTTTGAGATTTTTGAATCTCAGATGTGGCATGCTTGAAAAAAAATCTTTTTAAGGTGTCTTTGAAGGTGACAAGAAAATGTAAATAGAGAAAGAGATGAGAAAAAAATATAAAAAGAGAGAAACAAATAGAGAAATAAAAGAGATTTAACCTATTGATTGAAAAAAGAAAAAAATAGAAAAAGAAAGAAATGTCTAATTTTTAAAAGGATTGAAAATATAATATAAAATAATAGTGTAAAATATTTTTATAATATTAATTAATTAATGAAGAACATATATATCTTGCTAAATTACACTTTTAATTTTGATTTAAATTTTTTGATTAAATATCTTTAATATTGCGCTATTCTTATAATTTAACGAGACACTTCTCTTTCCTATTTTATGCTCACATAACACAATTGAATAGATACCTCTCTTCTCTCTTTTTCTTCACAAATTAACATATCCTTAGAGTGTTTAATTGTAATGTCTCTAGAACCAAATCTTTTTCTTCAAAATATCCTACTTATAATTTTCCCCCCTAAATGTCTTACTTTTTGAATAAAAAATCATTTTTAATTTAAGAATTATTTGAATAAAAAACTTGATAAATTTAAGAGTAAAATATTCTTTTTAGTCTCATAGGATAGTTTTAAGATTTATTTTGCTTTCTTAATTTAAAATTTTTTTATATCGATTCCTTAATTTTTCAAACGTTTTATTTTAGTATTTTTTTCTTTTTAATTAATGATTAATTTTCTAAATTTTTTTATCTCTAATTAAATAAAAAAATATTAAAATAATAGGGGACGTTGCCAGAACTCTGAAAATCGTTGCCTAAAACAATAGGGGACGTTTTCTGGGCGTCTCCTGTGCGAGCGTTGCCTATTGTTTGAGGCAACGTTTTTTTTATGTTTTTTGGGAACGCTTTTGAAAAACGTCGCCTATAGTAAAGGAACAGGGGACGATTATTTACGGCCTCTAAGACAACGTTTTTTAAGCGTTGCCAAATTCGGCTACAATTAAAAATCGTTGCCTTAAACCTGAATCAGGAAGATCGTTTTTGAAGTGTAGCCATAGCTTATAGGTTGTTGTTTTATAGTGTCCACATAAAATATACAATTTTGCAATTATTATCAAAATAATATAGTCAATAATAATTGGCTTCAAAAATAATATTGATTATATAACTTAAATCATACATCCATAAAAGTTGTAATATAATAAAATCGAGTTCGAACTTTAATTCAAGATATAGTATATAGAGTACACAAAATGCCTAACGTAACAATATTACTTTTAATACTTCGAAGTATGACCCTAGTAAAATAACTAAAAACATAGTTCAGCAAAAGAACAAAAATCATATTTCAAGTTTAATGCTTTCAACTACAAGCCAAAAAAAGACATCATCCAACTCATTCAAGTTTGTCTTCTAGGAGTAAAGCATCCAGATCATCCTCTTGAAATTCGTTAGATATGTCATCCTCCATAAATTCTTCATCTACGTCGTCCTCTTGAAATTCACCATCTATATCCTCCTCTTGAAATTCATCATCTAGATCTATGTCGTCCTCTTAAAATTCGTCATCTACGTCGTCCTCTTGAATTTTATCATTTAGGTCGTCCTCTTGAATTTTATCATTTATGCCGTCCTCTTGAATTTCATCATTTATATCGTCCTTTTCAACATCTTCATTAATATATTAAAATAGAATAAAAAGTTATATGAAAATAGAATTGAAAAGTTATATGAAAATAGAATTGAAAAGATTTGATATTATCATCAATTATTAACTATTAAAATAAATTTTATAATTATTACCCATATAATTTAATATTATCGTCAATTCAAAAACAATTTTTAAATTAATATCACACAATCTCTTATAAAACCTACTTCAAATAATTAGCCTCTATCATATGTAGAGAATTTTTAATCTCTTTTGACAGAAAATATCTTTTTAATATCTTTTAACATAAAATATATTTTTGAGTCAAATAAAAAAAATATAAAGCAGGACATGCTCAAGATATAATTGCAATAGTGAATTGAAATATGAAAGGTACACCTTTATGTCAATGCCAAGGCTCAAGAAACTATAATAGAGTTGCAGAATTTGAAAGAAACATATCAAATATGTTATGTTTTTAAATACATGAATGAAGTGGTTTATGAAAACTTTTCACATTCATGGTTACACTCAATTTGAGTATTTACATTTAGTTCAATATATAGAGCTCTAAGATACAAAATTAGTTATGAACTACAACTTTGATTAGAGTTATTATCTAACTTCGATTTGTACCAATCAATTACATCATTGTAACTCTTAAATTTCAAACAAGTTTGATTACTAAAACATTTTCCTCCGGCCTAACAATTGGTAATCGCTCTTTTCTTGAGATCAACAATATACACAACCTCATCGATTTCAATTTTCTACAAATTCACAATACAATCAGTTTTTATTGATCTAACCTTGAAAAGGAAGAAAAACCATTTGATACATATGCCACTAACAAATAATGAATTCATGTTATTTAATGAGATCAAGAGTAGCATGGAATTTTACCAAATGCTGCTACTGTAAAAATTAAAACACAGTAGCTGTTTGATTTCATGATGCATTGCTTGTAATTGAACTGCACTGTCAGCCCTCAGATTTGGCATTTGGTTTATGTATCAAATCTCTCCGCTAAAAGTGAATTGGTTATGTTTTTAAATCATGAAAAACTGAAACTGCAACTACATGTGGAAAACCTAAAATGAAGCCAGCAAACGGTTTATCTAATAGTATATGGATTTTAAAAGGCCAAATATCAAATTCAAGTCCTTTGTAAAATGTACAGTATCTTAGAAAATACAATTGTCTTAGTATACAATAATATCCTTGGCAATAGCCTTCATTGATATACTTTTTCATGATTTTCACAGTACTGCAACCATCCATCTCACCTGCAACTTCAAGACATTATTAAATTAATAGAAAAGGTCCATAGCAAACAACATAAATGAAATTGCATAATTCAATATCAATGTCATGTTTATTTCCAAAAAAAACATTAAATCAAAATTAATTAAGATGAATCAAAACTCACAAATAGATTCTCAGTTTTTTGGCAAAGATAATGATAACACTTATTCACTTCCTTTCAAGATAAATAATGAAAACAAAGATAATGAATTAAAAGTTTTGTAAGACGGGCTTATATAAATTAAAGAGGTAAAAAATTCATCAGAAAGAAAAGATAATTAAAAACTTGTATAAAGAAAATTAATACTATGTTATATGAAGAAAAAAATAAGGAATGCCATTTATTCACAACAAACCTATATTAACCATAAATGATCCAGAAGAAAGTCAGCAACCAATCGACTCTTTAGTGTTTCCATTTGAAGCTGAAAACACAAAACAAAGTTCATTAACAAAGTGAAGATTTAAAGCTAAAGAAAAAAATAATGATAAATCTACATAAGCTTCTGCCAAATGAATAAGAATGCATTATGATTGTTTAAGATTGGCTTCAGGAGTGAATAATCAATGTTCCTCCGTCTACAATCATAATCAAAACTTATGGTAATGAAAAGAGGGTAGTATCCCCAGAGAATAGGGCGAGAACCAAAAATGTAAATTTGAAAGGGATGTCATATCAGTATCACAAGCAAGTGGAGTATAGTGGTTATATATAATTCAAGATAACAGAAAGAATAAATTTCAAAGTGTTTACCTGCAATTGATTTTACAAACATGATCGTGAGCATCCTCTTGACAACCGCAATGGAAGAACTCAGCAAAAAGAAGTAAACAACTTAGGATCTTTGAAGGAGCGTCGGATGTGAGATCCACACGGAGTAACCGAGCAATTTGATTATCGAGTGTGCAGAAAGGAAACGAATAACCAGAAGAATCACCTGCAAGAGATGAAAATCAGGTTATGTCACATAAATTCTGAAAACTTTGGGTCGCTAATCCATCGCTTATTTTCGCAGGTGGATGAAGAAGCAGAAGAGAGTGAGGTGGATGAACTTGTGCGATGTGGGAGGAGGTGAAGAGAGACATCAACGATGAGAGTGAGGATCAGTATGTTGTACACCATATAAATTGGGAAAAGAAATAATATTGATAAGAAGAAATTGGGAGAAGAGAAGTATTTGCATTGCAAATTAAAAAGATTTTTTTTTAGGATGTCACGTTTTTCAAATTAATTTTCTAGAATGTCACATTCTGAACAAATTTGTTCAAAATACCACATTCAAGAGGGTTCACGCCATTTGAAATGGCGCGAATGTGGGCAGCAAAGGCTCTCTCGTCAACTTAAATAGCGTGAAAGGGCTTGCTAACTTTTTTCTTCTCGTTTTCTTCTTTTTATGTTATTTATATTAATAATTTTAATTATTTAATTTTATTATTAATTACAAATAATTTAATAAACTATTTAATTAATAAAATATTAATTTAAAAACTTAAATAATTATAAATTTAAAATAATTATTTAACAATTATAATTAAATAATAATTTTTTTTATTAAATAATAAAATTTCACAATTAGAATCAAAATACTAAATAAAAAAATACAGTTAAAATTTCACAATTACACTATTTAATATTGATGACCCGGACGTAAAACAATAACGTGGTTGCGGAGCACGATGACCAAAACCATATTGTTGTTCGGTCTCTGTTGTTAGAGGATTTTGTTGTGTTGCATCTGATGTTGGAGGATTTTCTTGACTAGGAGTTATAGCTTGCGGAGGGGACCAAATGTTTTCCATTAAATCATAATCACTGACGTTAAGATCCTCGCCAAAATTATATTGCGGTTGTTGTGGCGGACACATGGTTGGAAAATAAGGCGATATAGGGTTATGTTGGGAGGAGGAATCGAAATTTGGTCGCATGATGGGTGTGAATTGTGTAGTTGGCCTATGATATATTTGTGGTTGTTGGGATTCATAAATGTAATTTGGTTGGGAGTGAGATTGCGGGTATTGGGTATTAAAGATTTGATTTTGGTAAAAATAAGGGGCAGTAGTTTGTAGTTGAGAAAAATGAGGGTTAGAAGTTTGTTGTTCAGGATAATGGGGATGGGTGTTTGATGTTGAGAAAAGTGAGGAGTTTGTTGTTGGAAGGATTGGGGATGAGGAGGTTGAGAATGTTGTGAGTGGTGAGGTTGTTGAGAGCCACTTGCCTGAGTAGGGGCATATTGATTTTGACGAGGGTCAGTGAGAAATTGTTCGTACGATGCATATCTATGTGGAAGCGAGTGATACCATTGCATGTAGTATAATGTGGTATATGCTTTTTGGTGTGCTTTTATTGTTGTCATCTTATGGTGTTCAGCCAGGCATCGAGGTTCTTCAAGTATCCTTGTAAATGACCAAATGGCCAAATTGTAGTTTGACCCTATCTGCTTGATGCATTTCTACAATATGAAAATATATTATATACGTAGTTGAACTCCATATCAAACTGTCCTCGTGCCTTTGGGGTGCTAATCCAAGATACCGCCTCCAAATAAACTGAAAAATTATTGATAAGACTTGTTAGTTTAACCAAAATAAAATTCATAAATTTATAAGAAGTATTAAAGTGATAACCAAAATAAAATTCATAAATTTATAAGAAGTATTAAAGTGATGACAAAAAAACCTGATCTTGAAGCATGTCATCAATCTTGAATCGGTATCCTTGTAGATGGTGGTGCGGGTTGTTTTGGTAGTTAAGTTTCTTGATGCACCACCTAAAAAGAATTTAAAATTAAACTTTATTTTAAAGTATCCTAATAATTTTAATTATAAATTTAAATTTAAATTTAAATATTACCTTCTTGCGTAAGGATATGGAGCTTGAAGCGGAGTCACCGGAGATATTATAGGCATGCGTGTAAAAGCCCAAGCTTGAAGAAGTAAAATGCATCCTGACATCTCTGTTACTTTTATGTCTACAGACTTGCACATTTCCCTATATAGATTAGCTAAAACGGCGGAACCCCAACTCAATTTTCCACAATCTTCCAAATCCACAACAAATTGTGTCCATTTTGAGTGTATAGTATTACCACTTTTGTTAGGAAATAAAACTTGTCCGATAAGGAGTAAGATATAAATACGAGCATATTTAATTTTATACTCCTTAGGTGACTCATCGGTTAGTGGTTCATGTTGGTACATGTCTTTAAGCCAGGTCAACCTCACAATCATTCCCTTATCACTTTGTGGTGGTTCATCTCCTAAAATAGAACTCCATGCACCACCACCTAGCTCGGATGGACCATTTACCATTTTACCATCTACAGGAAGCCCTAATAACATACTCACATCTTCCAATGTAATTGTGCATTCACCGTTTGGAAGATGAAATATATGAGTTTCGGGTCTTTACCATTCTAGTAAGGTGTTGTACCCCAAAATTTGCCCTCGCGCTTTCCCACAAGAAATCTCAGCTTCAAACATTTCCTGACTTTTCAAACTGGCTCAAGAATCGGACAAACGGACTTTTCTTGACAGTCAGGCAAAACTAGGGTTTTTTACTGATTTTCAGAGCTCTGAATTGTTTCATACAGTGGGCTTAGGGTTTGGTTGATTTTTGGTTCAATTTTGATCAAGCGAGCGTGATTTGGCATTTAATCGGGAATTAGGGTTTTATGGGCATATTCTCAGAAGAATTTGAATTCCACAGCACTTTGCGGTTTATTTCGAGATTCGGATTAAAATTCGCGTTATCTTGATTTAATCAGCAAAAGAGACAGTGGTTTTGAATTCAGTACGTTTTGATTGGGCCAGTCATATACAAGATGCAGTATTGGATTCACGGTGTTCGTGTGTTTGATCAGTCTATCTGGGTCAATTGCTGCTTTGCTTTGGATGTAGGATAAGACAGGTTTATTGGATCAATGTTGTTTTATTTTAGTTATTTATTATTCTGAAATTAAATGATTGAATTTATTTTTCAATTGTTTTAATTCTAAGAATTTTAAATAAATAAATAAACAATAAAGAAATTAGAATTAATTGGATAATTTGATTTTTATTGATATTCGAATTATTTGTACAAATTGTTGTTACAGACAATAATTTACATTTAATTTAAATATTACATAGAATGAAAAAAAAAACTATCCTATTTTCTAAATGTTCTTCGTGCTTCATTCCGCTCCGGTATTCCACTTTTTTTCATCTGCAAAAAGAATAAGAAAAGTCAGAAAGCATTAAATTGGAAAAGACAGTTAAAAATTGCTCATCATTAGGGGCCACTGACTGGGATCAGTTGCCCTCTCTGCAAATCACGGGACTTCTCCCGGTTCACAGAGAGGGAAGATTATTTTTATTTCATGAAATGCAAATGTCAAAAAATGCATAAGTTACAAATTCAAGACTGCATAGAACCTCAGCTTCCAATTCAAACCAAATTGCAAAACTTCCCATTCAAAACTAAACTGAAAGTCCAATGCCAAAGATGTCAAAGAAAAGCAAAAAGGGAATGTACTGTCAAAGCAGAAAATCTGTCCAAACTGTCAAAAGAGAGATAAAGGAGATGCAAGATGTATTATGCAAGCAAACATCTTAATTCATCATTTCCCATAGGGCCCCTTCAAAATAGTACAGAATATAATCATATTAAAATTCAAACTGTACTTTGAGAGAGAGTAAAGAGAGATAAAGCAGGCAGGGTTAGACTGAGTTCAATGGCAGTTCAACAGCAGAGATAGACAGTACAGTAGGCAGGCAGACAGAAAAAAGATATACAAGCCAAGACAGTTCAGTTCAGCAGCAGGGATTTAGATATAGTTCAATAGCAGTTCAGCAGCAGGGATAGACAGTAGAAAAAGAAAGACAAAAAGAGATAATCAAAAAAACTCTCACATACCCAAACCTGCACCAATATAACCACACCAACATCCTATCATATAAAAGACCAACCTCTACAAGCCTGTCAAGGAGGAGACAACAAAAGATCTATAAAACCTGAACAGCCAAGCAAGCCTACAACCTGCCTACTGTCCACAAACTTCATCCACTCTGCATTAGTTTCAGAAAACAAAAGCCAATACACACTCAGTTCAGAATAGGGAAGATATAGAAGAGAGATACCAAATTCAGTTGAGGGGGGAGGCTAAGGAGAGAAGCATACAAACTGAACTACCAAGAACCAAACTCAAACCATTACTGTCATACCAGTACCAAACCTCTCAAACAGGTACCACCAACCATACTCATCATCAAAAAATGCAAGCAAGCGAGGCAACCAGAAGAAAGAGATAAGGCAATATCAACATAGGCAAAAGCAACATACAGAATTCCCAAGGCAACGACAAGAAGCATAGTCAGGGCAACGTAGGCAA